CTTCCGTTTCAGGTCCCTGTTACTCAGTTCAGAGGCAAGATCATCGACAGCTAAGACCGGCCAGATTGTACACCATCAAATCGTATTGCAATCAAAAAGATTTGGGAAATCGCAATTGTGGAATGACTCGAACTTACATTTCTTCTCCCTTTAAATGTGGTTTCCAATTTCCGTGAGGTAATCGGGGGTCTTGACATCTCCATCGTTTACAGTGTATTAATCTGGAACACTTTATTAGCCGACTAGTAAAAGACTAAAAGTGAAGAAAAGGGAGATGAAACGAAACAAGCAAAGGGAAAACAAATGCCGGTCAACCCAAGTTCTCTGCCAAGTAATTTACAACCACCAAATTAAATTCAGGTTATTTAATTTCAATTTTCAACAACTGAGGACCCGGCCCATTTGATTTGTAATAGTAGGAGTCTGAAATTGGAATCAGATTCCAATCATTTGGTTGGCGGAATTCAAATCTGATTCCTGATAAAATGGCATTCCCTATTTGAGGGATGACTATTTCCTTTCCCTTCCCTTCCTCTCAGCCGATTCTGAGGATTTTCTTTTCCCATTCCAATTGCAAACCGAATATATCTTGGGATTGTAGTACTTAGAAAACTTAAGGTTTTCACTTTTAGTATTGTAGTTTTATCAAATTCTAGGTATTTAGGTCCAATTGTATAAATTTCGATCAAGGATTAAATTATCGATATCGTGTATTGTATTGGATAGCTCAGATACGAATACGAATATGGATACGCTATGAATACTACGACTGGAATAGAAATGCTTGGATATACTTTCAAAATGCATAAAAGCATATAAATACATTGATAATATCAAGTTTAAAATTGAATTGTATATAAATAAGGTATAAACATATGAAAAATGCATATTTTAATAAGTTATAAGAAGAAAAAACATTATAACCAACAATTATCGGCAACTCTAAACCATGTGCATGCCATTTTATTAAATATATACTTTTTCATTGTTATAATTGTAGGTTTGTATCACTATATTTTAGTTTTCTCATATTTTTAATTTTGACATTTTATTATTTTTTAAATTTATTTATTTAAATAATAAACTTGTTTTTAAATAATTACCACTCTATTTTAGTTTTTATGATTTTAATTTTAATTTTTATTATAATTATAATTATAATTTTTTTTTATTTTACTCTCTTAGTATATTTCTATAAATGATAAATATTCTTTCATTGTTAAATATATAATTTTTCATTGGTATAATTATTGGTTTATAATTTTATATCACTCTACTTTAGTTTTTTCATAATTCTAATTTTGTTTTTATCATTTTTTAAAWTTATTTATTTATTTTCTATATAAATAATAGATATATTTTAAAATAATAACCACTCTATTTTAATTTTTATTATAATTATAATTTTTTATTTTACTTATTTAGTATTTTTATACAAACGATAAGTATGCTTTTTGGAAATTTTGTTTATTTAGTATTTTTATTATTTTATATAAGTAATAAGTATATATTTTCAAATAAAAATATGCTTTACTTTTAAGTTTTAACATGTATGTAGAATAAAACATATAAATTTGTAATACTAAATTGTTTTTTATTTTTATTAATTTTTAGCTTAATTTTTGTTAAAATTACAAATAGAACTACAATTTTGAACATGTTCATGACATATAAATCATGTAAAAAACCAATAATAAATGTTTCTATAAATTACAAAATACAAATAGAACTACAATTGCAAATATATTCTTTATCTACAAAATTAAAATATAATTCATAAAAATTTAAATAGGAAAACATTAAAAAATATACCATCGAAGGCAGGTCATGACTAGCTAACAAAAAGCTAAAAGCAGTCATTTCTGCTTTTGTGTGAGCCCAAGCATTGATGCGGTGTCGTATCGTATCGATACCTACGACCGATACATTCCTATACCAGTCGTAGCATATCCCGTATCCCTAGTCACCGATACCGATATTGATACACCCTGTATCTAAACGTATCATATCGATATTTTAATCCCTGACATCGACCTTTTTTCGTTGCCTTCTAATTTAGATTTGAGTTTCACGCCCAAAGTCTGCATAAAATAGTGGAAATTATCAACCATGTTAATTGCATAACTAGAAGTCTAACCATATATAATTAGACATTCTTACAAGGCTAACTAATACATGTGTGCAAGACTGCTAGATGCATGTCTAGGAAACTTAAGAGAGTTTAATTATGGATGCTTAAAAACCATAAAAGTTCATTTCAAGCCTCCTAGTTTATGTCTTTTGGTCCATCCATTGCCAAATGAAAATAGACTAGACCCACCCTAGACTTACCGAAGGCCCCTCAAATTTTTCTTTATATAAAGCTATGTAACCTTAAACAAGAGACATCTGGATTTTTAGAGTTGTAAATTGGGTCATGCTATCCGGTTTGGCTCATCACTATARCACATGGCCCATGCCGGCATGGGCTGGCAGCCCGACACCACACATATAGATATACATTTTTTATATTATTATATATATACATATAATTATAAAATATATATATATATATATATTTCAATTTTTTGTCTATTTTATTTCTCACTATTTTTTGCAAACCTTTAAAAAAATAGGCCTCTCATAGCTTGGCCCAAGGATCAGCCCGCAACACAACACGACCTAGCATGGGCCCGCCTAGGTTCGTGCCATGGGTCATACCGGGCCTGACTTGTTAAGGATACTAGAGGAGGCAGGCACAACTCACACAGGCTTATGGGCTAGCATGGCACGACCCACAAAAGCACAAACAACGGCATGTAAAGTCGTATTGTGCCAGTCTAGCATAACCCGATTTACATCTATATAGATTTTTATTTTTCTTTTTTATAAAACTAAGAGCTTCCATTTGAGAGCGAGATAGTTCTCTTTTGGATGAGTGAATTCCCTTGGCTGTGCAGACCCTGTCTTGTCACATCTCCATGCCTAGGGGAGATGTTTAAATGGTAAAGTTATAGTCTATAGGTGACAAACTAGAACAATTAGGGCAAAATTAACTTTATTTGGGTTTTAGTTCAAAGAATTTAAAGACACTAGTGGAAGAGCATGTTAGGCACATGTAAGTATTAACCGAATATGATATAGATATTTGGATTTACTTTTATGACCTGCAAATCAAAGAAAGCAGGATATATTTTGTGTTAATGTAAATGTTATTGAACTGCAACGCCTTGTTTTTTCCTGTCTGAGCTCTCCCACCTTGTTTTCATGTTTTGGGAGGATGTTCATGGCTTCCAGGTTCTTCCACTTATTTTTTTAATAATTTTCTGCTTACCGCTGCTGGTTTCATTTATCAAAACCCACCCATGAATTTTGATAAATAACAYCTGATTCGCTATTATGTTTATAATTTTAGTTTATCGATCATATCTTTTCCTTTGACTATGTTTGGTTTGAAGGAAAAGATAGGGAAAGGTAGGATTACAAGAAAAAATGAGAAATTTTTTTGATATTAATTGCACTTGAATTTCATTGACCTTATAACAAAGAACCTGCAGTTAGACAGATTTGATTTCGTCAAAATTATGTTTTTGGAGGGATACCATACCGAGCCATCGTCACAGTTAATGGATCATTCATTGGCAACGAATTGGGACAATGGTTTTGTAAACTCTATAGTAGTACAAGCATAATTAACAAGTAACCCATATTTACTACCATATTGCTTTAATTTAACTAATGATGCATATACTAAATAGGTTGAAAATCCTTGATTAGCTAGAACAAATTTTGCCACAACCATGTTCAGAATTTATCAGTTAATTAGTATTTAGACACCTAATGATACAATATAAGATAAGACCCTGAGGAGAATACACATTTCCACTTAACACCATAATCGTCACTATCATCATAAATAAAAGTACAAAGGTTAATTAAAGGCCCAAATTAGGAGGTAACATGAGAGTCTGGGTAGAAGAGATTTGATGGGCGCTTGATTTTGTTTTATTGGGTTACAATATTACATCACATAAATGAAAAAGAGAAGCTGGCTTTAAATTAAGATGTTAGTTTGTATGTATATGAATTATCTCCCTCCCTGTAATTGCATTTCTTGTCTATCTCCAATCCAATCCATGCAATCAATCGCTGTACACAAGTCTCCCAAGTCAACTTTTCTTCTCTTTTTCACTTTTGGGGTGTTTCCTCGTCATCAAAGCATATACTTCTCCAAATCCTCACCACTGACGACCAGTCAGGCTTTCGCTTTGTCAAGGATTCGATAATTCTGTTCCCTTGAAATTTCTTTCCCTTTTACCAACTGTCGAACATCGAACACCAAGAATTTGAATTCCTCTCCCGTACATGACAGAAACAAAAAATGCAACCAAAATTGTGATCAGAGCTCCGGCAGCTCTTGAAACTCTCCCGCCTTTATGAAAAGGTTATACCAAAAATCCATGCCGTCATCCGTGTTATTCCAATTGTAAGCAGAAATGGGTTCCGTTGTATAGACCGGATTGTATTGAAATTGTGATCCTATATCGGTCGTAGTTGCCGGATAATCAACGGGAATGCCGGAATTTTCTGCTGACAATGCTCCCGACCAGAAGCTTTCATCGATTTCAGGAAAAGTTTCCGAAGACTCGACAAGTTCATCCTTGATTCCCGTGTTCTGGTTTTCGCCTGTTATAACTGAGGATTCTGTAACCGAAGACAATTCACTGGAGGACTGTTGTGGAGATGACACCGGCGGATAGACCGGATTTTCGAATGCTGGAATTATCGGAAAATTCACGGAGTGTGACTCTTTGGGCGTGTTGGTATCGCGCTTGGGTACTCCAGTAGACGGCCTTTTGGTGTTTGTGGTGGTCTGATATTGCCTGAGCCTCTTCTTGAGATGTGTGTGCCAGACATTTTTTATTTCGTTGTCTGTTCTTCCCGGTAATTTTGCTGCGATCGCTGACCATCTGGAGATAAAAAAAGAAAGATTATATAAGAAATCTGTATCTGTTTAAGGATGTCTGTAATAACATGAAAATCATCCTCATGTARCAGTAATTCTTTTTCTTTTTGTAAGACTGTAATATAATTAACAGTAATCACCCTCTCTCTCTCATACTGAATTTAATGGATGTCAGACAAATAATACACCACACATACATAATGCGTGTTTGGTCGTATGCATGTGCTTGTCAGCAGTTCTAATACGAACAAAAATTAGGGAATCTTTTCCCACTTGTTTATAAATTAAATCCTATTGCAATTTGATTGAGAGAGAGAGAGAGAAGTTTCTTGGTATTGACAATTTGGTAATTGTTTATTCGGGGTTGTTCAAACTTGAAAGACTTCAAGCTGTGTGAAGTTTCTTGATGCTGATATTTTGTTTTATTTTTTTTGGGTATTCAAGCTATAGATTTTGATCAATAATCCAAGACAAAATTTTAATATCTAGTGTTCATGCAAAACGGGGAAACCAATCTTGTGGGAGTTTAAATCAATGCATGCACACCTGTTGCCCAGCATTTCATGAAGCTTGATGATAGTTTCCTCCTCTTCTTTGGTGAAGTTTCCTCGCTTTATATCCGGTCGCAGGTAATTTGTCCAGCGGAGTCTGCAACTCTTCCCACACCTCAGTAGACCTGAAGGAAGTAAAAAGAAAATTAAGATTAAAGACAATATATATAAGATTTTTCTTTGTTTGTAAAACTATCTACTCACTACAAATGATCTCTAACTGTTTGGTCCCTCAAAAAAAAAAGGATGTAGTGTTCTAATGGATGGAGATTTGTCAGCTTGATCAATGAACGAAGTTTCTTTTCTTCTTCAAAACAAAAAGAGAACCAAAGAAAAACCTCTGACTTCTGAAATCAATAGAACTAAATGAACCAAAGATTCAATATTTATTGATTACAGAAAACCCAATTGCAAATTCATGAATTCCATCAATAACATAACCAATAGATATACTACGTACTAAGCATTCTATCGGTTGATGTATTATTCATCTTTTGATTGCTCATTAATTTTGTTTTCATAGGTTTGGGATGAAAATTTTCTGTATATTCAAATTGAAGGTCTTTAGTTGTTGAAAGAAAGATGTTGGGAAATTGCAATTACCAGCTTGTTTGGGAAGAGCCCGCCAGTTGCCGTGGCCGTATTGTCGAATATAGTTGATGAGAATCTGATCTTCTTCAGGAGTCCATGGCCCCTTCTTCATTCCCATCTTCTCACAACAAGGAGCTCTCACCATCTTTGATCTCAAACTCCAGACACCTTTTTCACTCTTTTTGATCTGATCACTATTCTTTATCTTTCTATCTCTGTCTCTCTTTCTTTCTCTGTCTCTCTCTCTCTGGAATGTGTTCYCAAAGCTCAAATGATGTTTTCAAGCCCACGAGTGCCTATTTATCCAACGAGAACCCCCCGCCCCCAAACAAAACGTGCGAGTCCGCATGATATTTCAAAAATCAAACCTGCAATTTCTAGGAAATGAGGTCCCTTTCTCTCTTACCACTTTTTTTTGTTTTAATCTAATCGTTGTTGGTGATTTTAGTCATTCATTTCATCAAATAAAAAGAGAACATTAGAGATTTTCTTGAACCGACATGATGGAAAAATGAAAGAGTAGGGCCCAATCCAGGGCCAATATACAGGAAATTAAGGATAGCAGATGACGCTATCACAGCTTGTCAGATTTTCCCAAGTTCACATTGGTACCACTTCCTAGTGGTTTCAACTTTGAAGCATTGATAAGTGTCCTGGGAGTAATAGTGAGTGATGTCTTTGGTCAAGTGATGGTCTATCAAACGTGTAACCAGGCAAAACCCCAAATGAAATAAATAAAGGCAGGTGCATAAATTCTTGGCGTTTTTCAATTAAAAAAAAAAAAAAAACAAAGTGATTAATAAATGTAAATGTGGGGCTAGGATATAGAGGGATGGAAGGAGAAATAGTCCAAAAAGTAAAAGAAGACGGTTCACACTTGTTATATTGTTTCATTCTTTCTTGTTTTCCTGTGCAAATTAGCTTCTGTGGTGGGGAGGGTCAAAGAAGGAGGCTTGCCTTCTTCGTATTTTGGGCCATGCACCGTAGGCGTAGGATTTCTTTGATCAAGTCAGATGAGTAATCAAATGTGGATTGTGCTAGTCAAACCCAACTGACTTTTGTGAAATAATCTTATTCGAATTCAAATCAGTCTCCCACAAGATTGCCCCACATAACGTTTTACAGCGCATCCCCGCCATATATTGGAAACATCTTTCTTGTATTATCATTATGAGATGTTTGTGGGACTTTGTGGGACTGATTTGATCTCATCTTATTCTAATTGGATGATGTTCATTATAGTCATTGATATGGACATTATGTGCAATACATTGTGAGTTAATTTGTGATATATATATATATATATCAATTGGGTCTGATTTGAACAACCTAATTCTGTCCGAAGAAGTAAGGCCAAACAAGGTACTGAGTCTCCCTTTTGACTATGGGTTGCCTTGCCCAGTGAACATTAATTTCAACCATTTTAGGTAAATAAAACTAAATGATAATGTTCAATAGTTAACGACAGGCACTGCACGGCAGCAGTTGAGGCAGCAATGCGCATATGATAGGCACCGCACGGTAGCGGCACCATAAGTTGTGCGTAGCACCGCGCGGCAGCGGCACCACGCGCAGCACTGCATGCGCCACGTGGCGGTGGCACCATGAGCCGTGCGTACGCACACCAGCAACAGCAGCAGAGTGGGGCCCACACGACAATTCATAGGGTGGGCCCACCCATATCCGGACACGACAAGAGGACGCGCCTTATTCCTTATCCCTCATTCCATTCGCCCTTATCTTATCCCCTATTCTTAGAAGGAATTGTAGTACCATTAAAAGTAAGTAGTCTAATTAGAAGTAGGAGTTTGAGTCCGTTTAGGACTAACCTATCCGAATCCAACAATGAACTCTCCTCTTGTAATCTCCTATTTAAGGAGACGCTATTATTGAATGAGGATATCGAATATTCAGTCAAGAAAGAGAGTAAGGAGAGTTCGATGATCTCTTGGACAAATCACCCCTGAGATAGTCAAAATAGAGCATATACGCAAGGCCAAGGGCAAGAAAAGATCTGAGGTTCCTATAGTGGAGCGACCCATGACGCGATCCTAGGCTCGGGCCCATAACACTCTAATATACTTAATATCCATCATGTCACAGTCATTACAATCCCAATTGCACGCCGTACGTATTGYTGAGGTCAGTACTCAGTAGGCATATACAATAAATAAGCGAGCAAAAATATTAAAAATTAATCAAGTAAATTGGAACCACAATTTTATTATAAACATATATAGTAACATTCAATTTGAATAGGTGTGAAATTGAATTGCTCAAAGAGATGATGCAGTGATTTAATCAAACCTTTATATTGGTATAGACTAATAACTTTTCACCACTGCACCTTGCAAAGATATTGTCTTCATCATGGTAGGGAAACTTGTATACTCTTCATTCTAAGTGATCACTGATGAGAGACATAAGTCAAGTTTCTGAAAATAGACCCAATTAGAGATAATTTGTATGTGGGTTCAAGAAAATTTAAAACAGAAGAATTAACTAGGTCTTTGGTGGAAAAGTTATTAAAGCATCACAAGATAAGAACTAATTAATGTGAAATATAATTAGAAAAGCAACTGTGTAATTAATCAATTAAATCCCATAAAGAGATTGAGTCTCAACAATATTTCCATTGCAGTTCAAATATGTGTGATTAGTAGAAGATATGAATCGAATTTGGTTTCTTTCTATAATTAGTCCTTTGAGTTTCATTCATTAATATCAATTAGTTTTATTGGAATATACAGGGATTCTGCATATGCTGCCAATTGGAAAAGTTGCTTTTACTTTTTATTTTTTATTTTTGGTGTGAGTGTGGGGGAGGGGGGAGGGGGGTGAATAAAGCCAAGATATCTGGATCGATGGATTCCTATGTCGCCGCGTATTAACAAAATTAAAGGTTAAGCATGCCATGGTCGAACTCCTTTTCCCTTTTTTCTGTTGAAAAGTGTGGTGCTAATGAACACTAAAACCAGAAAGCTGAACTCTGCAGAAATCACATTCAAAGGTTTGCTTTAATTTGATAAGGCTTGCCGAATAAAAATATAGAGATCTGGTTGAAACTAGTTCGACTCAGGCCTTCACAATCAGGATCATCATGACTTGTCCTGGGCTATATACTTTTATAAAGTCTCCGTTAAATCATGTTTTACTTGTGTAATATTCTCCACTAACTTGTAATGGATCGGTCATTTAGTGGAGACTCATCTAACTTATGAGACCAAAGCAGTCCCCCACAAGATTGATGATAATCTCAGAAATAATGATGTCATCATCGAAAGATRTTCCCTAATCTTGTGGAGGCTGACTTGAATTCCTAACTTATTGTCTTTCCAAAGGTCATCTCCTTATACTTTAAACTTTCAATCAAAAAGTCCTTCATTTTACTGGAACAACTTTGTTTGGATTCTCAAGTAGTAATTTTGGTGAGTTAATTAACTTTGTTTCGATTCTCAAAGAAAACAAAGTACAGAAAGGAAGGGGAGGTGAAAGATTCACTTGCTATATATGTAACTGTACCATGTACTATTGACGCCCTCTTTATAACCAGGAAAAAATTATGATTGCTTTACCAATCAATCCCCCTGAATTTATATGAAAACCCACCTGGTTACCACTTTTATGATGCCATAGCCATTTCTAGTAGCATGAAAGTACAGTTAAATGGAGACGAAAAGTTAGAACACATTTGTTCTGTTTAATGCTGTATTAATTATTGTTAAACTATGAGCATCAAAATAAATTTTTTTTTTCCATTTCTTGTTTGGTCTGCCCCTAGCCCTTGTAGTCCTTTAAACTAAACTTGCAACAGGCTTCATTTAGGTTTATCTAAAGTACTAAATCCTCAATTTCGTTATCTAAATGGACCCCTTGTTGGGATATTAAGGGTACAAACAGAACTGGGGTCGTTCTAGAATTTTAAATGATAGATTTAAGTGATTTTGAATCAGCTGAAGAGATGCAATTTAGCACATGCAAAATAAACAAATAAAGGATCCCACTTTGTATAGACAAAGTGAAGATGGAAATCAATGGGACCTTTTGGCTTTCCCCTTGAACATGGTAAAAGAAGAAAAGTACAAATATGACTGGCCAGAAGCACAGGGGAGGGGGACCCTATTGAATAGGAATAGGAACCCATCTGGGTTGGCCAAAAGTACGAGTATGTGGCCTATAATCGTCCACGGTCCACACGTCTGGGGCAAGTCGGCATGGCCAAAAGGGAAAATCGCCTTCTTCATATCCATTACACATCTCTTGGACCCATCTTGTCTGGATCACTTGGCCAACCATTGTTCTCTTCTTAAAGGCCTCTTATGTTCAACTTTTTTTTTTTTTTTACAGACAGAGAGAGTTTTATATCATTTCTTCCTCTGACTTTTGTATTCAACTTTGTTTTTGTTTGGCTCAAATTTGATTGATATAGAAACAACGTGCACGTGCGTGATATTTATTTAGAGATAGAACTTCTCCGTAAAATTAAATGAATTAATGGAGATATGTGGGGAGCAAAGCTACCTGGAACAAAAAAACAAAATCGACAATGTCGACATCCCCCTTTTGTTTTTGAATTTTGATTAGGTTCTTTCCGTCACAACTATTTGCAGCTTGTACGAAAGGATCAGCTGTTCCTGTTTGACAGCTTCGTCGGCTATCTTTTGATCCCTCATGGACTATGGCCAATTAGACTCAAAGGTTCAATACCCGATTTAACATTCGATCCGAATATCTCGGATTTCCATTTTTTATAATCTTAGGCTGTGTTTGGTTGCAGTGCAAATTTATTTGTACTGCAATCAAACAAAATAAGCTAAATTTTGAAATAAAAATAAATCAGAATTTACATTTAAATAATTTACACTGTCATGGTTTTGCATTAATGCAAATTTATTTGCATTGCAACAAACACAGCCTTAAGAATAATAAGACAGGTGTATTAAATCTGAATCCGCTCCAATTAAAGCCCTACTCATGTCTTGAATTTTCATAAATATTAAGCTCTTGCATCCATGTTAACATGGGAAAATTAAATTATAATAAAAAATAAAAATATATTTGAACCCGCGTGATTTTAGAATAGGACTGTTCACGGGTCGGGTTGGGTCGGTTTACTGGCATTTTTTCAACCGACCCGACCTGATCAGTTTACTTGAAAATGAAACTGAAATATATATAGTAAAACTGAAATATATCAGATATATATATATATATATATAATATATATCTAAGTCGGTTCGGGTCGGTGCAAAAACCAAA